CAAGGCTAGCGCTCTACCACTTGAGCCACAGCGCCACTTCCGGCTTTTTTCTTTTTGCTTATGTGGTGCTGAGGAATCGAACCCAGGGCCTCATGCTTGCAAGGCAAGCGCTCTACCACTGAGCCACCTTCCCAGCCCAGAAATTTATCTTTTGGAAAGCTGTCTTTATCTGTTTTTTGTGTAGCCTTGTTTTACTGCAAGCTACTTTATCATAGGGGGATCCAGACATCCTCGTAGTGAAGTTTTTGGACAGTAATATATTCTTTAAAACTGAATAACTCATCTGTCATCCTATTTAAAGACAAAAACTAAAGGGGACACATATTTGAAGTAGTCGATTGTTTTCCTCAGTGTGTGGTTGAGTGATTTCATTCCTGATCAGTGCTCTGTACAGACAATAGTGAGAAAAATCTGCCCTTTCTCATCCACATGTCATGGCCCTTACAAAAGAGACTTTTTGGTGATTTTTGAAATAACTGAAATTATGGGCCTAGCAGGCACTGGTGGTTCACATCTGTAATCCTGGCTTCTAAGGAGGCTAAGATCTGAAGATTGAGGTTCAAAGCCAGCCCAGGTAGGAAAGTCTACGAGATTCTTATTTTCAAATAACCACCAAAAAGCCAGAAGCTGAGGGGCGGCTCAAATGATAAAGCAGTAATCTTAAGCAAAAAAACTCAAGAAGTGCTCAGGCCCTGAATTCAAGTCCCAAAACTAGGACGAAAAAAAAAATCCCAACTTGGATTTTGGTCTTTTCTTTCTAATTCTAAAACCTAATCCCAATCCAAAAAGAATGAAATGAACTAGAGATGTATATTTCCAGGAAAAATCCTTTCATCAAGTTGTTGTAGATGTCTGTCAGCAATGTCTCGAGTAGATAATTCAGATATCTAATGCTCTTGCATTTCACTGAGGTTGGAAATTCTTTCTGAAGTCTAAGTCCCCACCGTAGCCTGCATTTGTGAGTGTCTACCCACAACTCGGGGCTTTCCAAGTCTGTGAGCATATACATTTGACCTTCCTGTCCAACTGCTCCAAACCACGGTACTGACTCTAAAATATTTTAAGAGCCAGTTAAAAATGAACTGTGCACACAGGACTGGACTTAACCAGAATTGTACAAAAGAAAAAACGGATCCTGAGTGATTTATTCGATAGTCTCTACAAAAAGTTATCAACGTATTAAATATCTCTGCAGCATTGACTTACCTGAGGATCCTTTCATGGAATTTAATCCCATAGATATTTGGCTTTCACAGGTGTCTTCAGAGCATCTGTTCCATGCATAGCTTTGTCTATTCATGGACAATGAACAGATTAAGCTGTCTTTGTCCTCAAGTAATTTACAATCTAGCTGGAGGAAAAAAAAAAGTCATGTGTAAAAATAGTTGAAGCATAACTTCTGGGTTTTATATGGGAACTCTGTTAGGACCGGGGTTAAAGAACAGAATGCATTTTTAGGTTTGGGTTTTGTTTCTTGTTGTTTTGTTTTTATTTTGTTTTTATTTTCCCTGAGACACAGGTCTCACTAGTTTAAGGCTAGCCTTAAACTAAAGAACCTCCTGCTTTAGCCTCTTCAGTGCTAAGATTACAGGCATGTGCCACTACACCCAGCATCAGCATGGTATATTCTTGTGTGTGTGTTTATGTGTGTGTGTGTGTGTGCATGTGCTTGTCCCCAACATTACTTGCTCAAGACCAGTGCTCTGCCACTGGAGCCACAGCTGCACTTCTGGCTTTTTGCTGATTAATAAGAGATAAGAATCTCATGCACTTTTTTCCCAGGCTCTCTTTGAACCACAATCCTCAGATCTTAGCCTCCTGAGTAGCTAGGGTTGCAGGCATAAGCCACCAGATCCAGATGCATGGTATACTCTTACAAGGAAGTACCAAGGACTGGAGACTGAGTTCAACTGGTAGAGTACTTGTTTGGCAAGCAGGAGACCAAACCCCAGTTCTTCTCCCCCTCCCCCCAAAAAGGACAGCAAAGCACAAAATGCTATAGACAAAGCGGAAGAGTTTCAGTAGCAGTCTATGCTGATAGTT